TAGGACAGCAATCCCAACTGCCATTTTTTATTTAGTATGACGATGGGCCGGTGTTACCTGCTTAAAAATGCAAGAGTAAAACTCGATTGCCCGACGAGCAGTGGTCGCCTCTGCTAACACAAAACAGGCACGAGAATTCCTAGAAGCTTAGCACTGCGGCAAAAACCGCATCAACAGGCACAATGATCTCGAAGTTGCTGCATTCGAGTATGTGGTGTGGACAGCTCATGCAGTTCAGTTCTGCCAAGAGGGCTCAATACACATATTGGTGAAACCAAGAAGTATGAGGAACTAGGAAAAGGAATAAGCGCGTGAAATGCTACTAAAATGTATAAGTAGCAATATTTAACTCACCAAACATATTCGCCGGTCGCTTAGCAGTTGTCGGATAATTGTTAAATATCGAACGCAGCGATTTAAATACATGGCAAATGTCTACCATCACTTTCCCCTTTATTATGATGACAGATCTCATCCTCCCTCAAATCTATTTTCGGGTTCCACAAACTTGCTGTGGCTTCCATAAAAGACCTCACTACTTTTCAATCGGCAGAGGAAGCCTTGGGTGGCATCACTCACCCGGGTCACCTATTCCCTACGGTAGATAAGAGCCCAGCATTGCCGTTTGTGAGGTTCGCTGGTAATCCCTCGCAAACTCAACCACATCTTAAGCTTTGTTAAGAAGCCTTCACATTTCAAGAGCGGGTAGTTTATATTTGGCTGAGAACGGCCCATCTCCAGAACCAGGACCGGGCTAAGTACAGATGATGAAGTCACAGACAACCTGACCACTAAAAAATTCGTACACGTTTATGGAATAGTGGATTGGGGGCGTGTCGGAAGTGGCGGTGGGCCAAAGTCCACTAGTACAAAAAGTCTGAACTTGGCGCCTTCCCTGGTCACTATGCAAGGTTCAGCCACGCACATCTATTCACTCAGTGACAAAGGACCATTTTTTATTTAAACATTAAGGCAGTAACAGTCATCGGGGCGTTCCTTGTAAACTTAGCTCTCCTGGAGACTGATTCAGATATTGTTTTTGAAAACCCTCCGGTTCCCCTCTTCAGTTTTCTTAGCAGCACATGGATCCGTACAAGAGACTAGCCTTGGAGCTGCTTGTAGGCGCCCTGTCTATCGCATACTACACCCACGATGTGCACGGCCACAGACATTGTGTCCGTTCGTGGAGGCCTATTCGATCTATACGATTGGCTTATTAGCTGGGCGTCATACGAATGCCTTATTTGTCTGCAATGAAGTTTTTGTCAAGGTTTTAACATACAATATTCATAATCCGTAAGTTAGTACGAACTGATATAAAATAAAATATTCCTTGACAATATTATCTTCATGCATAGGCACGAACGATCGATTATTTTAATTTTCTCGCCTTCTGTTTTGAGTTAGTAAGGATTACAATTGGTGCCACGGACCCTCATCGATGACTAACTCGTCCTGTTCTGCCTTCGAGCTCACTCTCGAGCCCCGCCAGCAGCCGCACAATGGTTAGTATTAGAGGCAGATGGACATTTTTGACAAATACAGGGAGACTACGATGGCCACCTCTGGCTCATTAACCGTCATACCCAACCACAGGCAGTGTACTAACTGAGGCTCGAACCGGCGAGTTGTTGAATCTAAGTCCATTTCAGTGGCCATCCCATTAGGCCTAGTTTTTGTCGTTTATGTTCATCTGCTTAACTTGGAATTTGGTGTCTCGAGGTAGGATAAACTTAAATACCGAGGATGATACGGAGGAACGTCAAGCGCACTGCAATTTATAAACGAAGAC